GAAAACCCGGGGGGTTTGGGAGGAAAAAAGGGGGAAAAATTGGAGGGGACGGGGGGGGGGAACATAGTACGAGGGGGAAGGTGAATCTCCACACTTGTAATAAAGCCAAAAGAGGGGGGGGAAAAACAGGGACAGAAAAACGGGAAAAATAAAGTTTGGAGGTGGAAGAAAGGAAGGGAAGGGGGAAAGAAGATTTGAGCAAAGTGGGGTTTTTTTTGGGCTTCTGAGAAGTAGAGGGGCGATTGGTATTAGGTGTCGTTTTGGGTCTTGTCGATACTGGGGCCCTTTTGAGGAAGGACGCAAAGATGTTGGGAAAAGACTGAAATTGTAGTCCGGGGCTCAGACCAAGGACAGCAAAAGGATTAAGGGTTGCCGGGGTGGCTATGGGGGGGGTAACAACCCGAGGAGGTGGGAGAAAAGGGGCCCCCCGAAGAAGGGGGGTGTTTGGGAAAAACGAGAATAAGGAAAAACGGGGTAGTCCCCCTTTGGGGGCGGAGGGGAGAAAAGCCCTACATAAGGGGACCCTTTCTGCCTCTTTGGGCAACGGGTTTCACGTTTTATTTAAATGAAACCCGGCAACCCGCGGGGTCGAAGGGGGGCTTCATTTCCAATTTAAAGGGAAGATGGAGGTTTTACTGCAAAAATGTATTAGAATGGTCGTGGCCCCCACAAACTGGGCATTCGGCCCCCTAGATCCAAAATTTCGCTGGGGGCCAAAACGCCAGCAATTTCTACATTATTGTGGTGTAGGTAAACACCTTTCAAAATTTTAACTGAAGTCCCACGACATTACAGAGGACGGGAAAATTCTGGCCGTCAAAAATTAAACGAGCCACATTTTCAAAAGGGGAAAAAATCTCCCCCCCCGGGCAGGAAGGGGCATTTAAGGGGTTTTTTTTGAGGATTGGGAGATCCTGGAGTTTCCCGCTGTTCAAATGTCATTTTCCACAAGGGTGGGAAATTTTGTTTTACATGGTAGGGGGAAAGAATGACATACCACTACAAGAATGAGAGAAAGAAAGTTTTTTAATAGTGTTTGGGTATATCGATATTCCCAAAAGGGGAGAAAATAATGGGGTTTGGGTAGCATTCTGGACATGACGGGTGCGGCGTACCGCTCTTGAGAGCATGAAATGAAATATCTCTACCAACATGATGCAGGAGCGCTTTGCCAATACTATGGTCAGAAAGGTAGGCAGAAGAAGAAGTCGGTCTTAAAGTAAAGAATTTAGTCCATTGTGTGGTCCGAAACTGAGCGTGGAGAGGTAGTGCTTGACGTCTCGGTCTTTTCCTGAGTAGAATGGGAAGGTAACGAAGGAACATCATCAGGAGATTGACGTTGGCGTTTAGGAGTAGGACCGGAGTTGGTCCAGCGTGAAATGGGTGGGCGATTCGAAAATTGCCGTACCATAGAGGGAGAAGCCGGAAGCATAGTCAAAGGAGAGCGGAGTTCAGACAAATCGAAGGAGTTAGTCGAAGCCCCGGTACCTGAAGCAGGTGAGGAAACAGCACCAGCAAGAGGTACAAGGGCATCAGGAGTGTCCGAAGAGTGGTCTAAACACAAGGCAGGGTCAGAATGGGGTGCGGTATCAAGAAGGGGCCCGGGGGTAGTGGGTTCATGGATTGGGTTCTCCATGGTTAGGTTACTCCTTTGCTTTTTGTTTTTAAGAAAAAAAAAGAAAGAAGAAAAGAAAATAAAAATAAAAAAAAAATAAAAAAAGGGGAGAGCAGGGAGGAATAGTTCCCAGGAGGAATGAAAGGGCCAGAAATCTCCCTCTGCTCCCAAGAGGACCTCAGCACTGCTAGTAGCACAGATGCAGCATGGAACCCGTGCCATACCCTACCCTTCATGCCAGTAAACCAGCAATCCGGGATAGCAACCTCACATCTGCCGAGCTACCTCGGTGGACAAAAGAGAGGGCGGCCAGATATCCACCACAAAGCATACCTCCTTCGGCCACCACCCCCGGAATCCGAAAGGTGGCTTCCAGAGATACACCCGTTGCCCGAAAGACACCCAAAGCTACTCCTGGGATACCGGAGAGGGATCGGGACATCCCCAGGTGATCCAGATTCCACGGCAAACTACGCCACCGCCAAGAACCTCAATGGAATGGGATGGACCCCGGTGTCCTTTCCCCTACCTAGGAACTAGCGCGCCTGTGGGAGAAATCCCAAAGGCCAAAAAGAGGAAGGGCAAAAGGGAGGGGTGGGGAGGAGGAGGAGGAATGGAAAAAGGGGAGGATGGGATAGGGGAGGGGAGAATGGGGGGTAATTAGGTTCGGTCTGAGGAAGAAGACCGACAGGGCTAATTCCTCAGACCAAGAGCCTCTTCACCACGCCAAGGAGCCCCCCTTGAAGAGGAAACGGACCACAAACCTTTCATATACTTAGAAACTTTTAAGGGAACCAACAGTCGCCTCTTGAGGTGGACATTGGCACTCCAGGCTTTTAAGTTCCATATTGTGTATATCAATGGTTCATCCAATTATTTCTCTGACTGGTTAAGTCGTGACAGTCAGTAGAAGATTTGTTGCCTTACGCGACTTCCACATGTTAGAACTTTTTCCTTGCCTATTCTTCTTATACTCCTTGACTATAAGTCTTGGTAAGGGGGAGTGTGAGGGAAAAGTTCAATAGATAGGAGTAGCGAGGGAGTATATAGTAACAATAGTTTCATTGCCGGCTACTTGTTAAGGTAGGGTAAGTCAAGCTCCCGCTATTCCCGCCCTTTTTCCCCCACCCCGAAAGTGATAGTTTGACTGCCGGCTGCTTGTTAAGGTAGGGTCAGTCTAGCTCCCGCTATCCCTTGCCCTCCTCCTTCCCCCCCCCCCCAAAAGGTGACGTGTGGGGCTCTGGTCCAAACAGTAATCACTAGACTCACAGCTCCCAGCACTACTCTTGGATGACAGAGAGGGTCACCTGTCAATCAACGAGAAGAACTGGTGGAGATGGACTAACGTCCTGAGACTTCCCCTTTTTGGATTTAATTACCTGTGCACCTGTATGAAATTGCAGGACGTAACCCCTCATCATTGCAGCGGTAAAGAACCTGCTTTCCTCTCATCGGGATATAATACTCAAGGCTATACTGTGAAGAACTAGCCAGTGGGTCGTAACCAACACCTGCGACCCCCCCCTCATCATCAGCAACGGCTACGATTTCAACAACACAGTGTCACCAACACCAGACACCCCTATATATATTAGCGTTGAATTCAGTTATCATTTATATTTTTCATTTTCTTTAATGTAGGATTAATATTTCATATTTAAGTGTTTTATATTTTATATTTTCTATATAATAAAGTGTTTATGTTTGTCTGTTATTATTTCTTTTACTATTCATTAATTTTCCTGAGGAGGAGCCAGCCTTGGTAATACTGTCTGAAGTTATTACAGGGCTGAGTAAGCCTTCACACTGCCTGTGGGCAGGTAGTATATACCTAAGTGTCCACTTTAAGAACTGGGAGGTCTAGGAGCTTAAGTCATTCCAAAATATCAGCATTGCACATCCAGAAATCACTGAATAATCTCCTGTGGAAGAGTTCTGGTTTCACTGCACGAATTGAGAGGCGTATATATGAATCATGATCAGAGTATCATCAATGGAAGTATGGAGAGAGATTGTGAGCTTGGCCAGCATTTTGTACCGTGACGATGTGTGCACCACTCTCAAGAGCATGAAGTGAAATGTTTTGACCAAGATGGCTTAAGAGTGCCTTGCTGATACTGTGATCAGAAAGAATGATAGTGGGAGATATCAGTTGTAGAGTGAAAAGCTTAGTCTATTGTGTACCTTTAAATATAAGAAGCACTAAACCTACAAGGGTCATACAGCAAAGTGTGAGGGAAGTATGTGTTGTGTAGGTCATTTCTGGGAGTGTAAGGCAAGTGCCGTGTAGGTCTGTTTTAGGAAGGGTGAGAGGTAACCGAGACAGTGTCATCCGTTAATGGTCATGGTCGTTTAAATGTGGGATCAGAAGTGGTCTGTCCTGAGATGGGTAGGTGATCTGAAAATTGTTGCACTGTATGGGGACAGAGCTGGAAGCATGGTCAAAATCATGCGGAGGTCAGACGTATCAAAAGTCAGGCAGAACCTCAGTACCAGAGGCGGGCAACAAAATGTACCTGCATAAAGTACCGGGATGTGAGAGGTGTCTGAAGAATGGTCTAATAAGGAGGCAGGGTCATAAGAGGGTGCCACAGGAGAAAGTGGCCTGGGAGGGGGAATTTCACAGGCATAGGGCTCCATTCCCATGATATTTTGTTTTTAAAAAGGGGGTATGTGGAGGGGTAGCTCCTAGGAGTAATGAAAGGGATTGTATATCCCCCTCCATACCCAAGAGGGCCCTCAGTGTGGCTGGTAGTGCAGATGAAGTATGGAACGTGTGCCCTGTCCTACCCTTCATGCTGTTAAACTAGTGATCCAGAATAGCAACCTCACATCCACCAAGCCACCTTGGCAGACAAAAGAGAGGGTAGTTGGAAGCCCTCACAAGGCATACCTCCTTCAGCCACCACCTCCCAGAACTGACAAGCAGCCTCCAGAGATACACCCATCACTCAAAGGACACCCTAAGCTGTCCCCTAGGACTCCAGAGGGGGATCGGGACATACCTAGATGATCCAGATTCCATGGCAAACAGCACCACAACCAAGGACCTCAATGGAATAGGATGAACAACGACAGCCTTTCCCCAATCTAGGAGCTAGAATTTCGGAGGTGAAGACCTCAAAGGCCAAAAGCAGGAAAGGAAGGAGAGGGGAGGGATGGGGAAAGGAAAAGGATGGAAAGGATGGGGTAGGGAAGGGAGGAATGAAGGGGGGGTATTTAGGTTCAGTGAGAGGAAGCAGAAAACCGAAAGGTTCAATTCTTTAGACCAAAAGCCTCTTCATCATGCCATGGAGCCCTCTCCTTTGAAGAGGCCTTTCTTGTACAGAATCTGAATTCCTCCTTTGAAACAAAGTATAGTTAGGCTATTTCAATCACACTCATATTTTATAATATTTCTTTTTATTTCAAGAAACAATGTGAATGTTATTAACAAAGTCAATGGTAATCCTCTGAATGTTTACGATGACACATGAGCAGTTAGGTCACTTAGAGTTATCACCACTGATAGCACTTTGGCAAATAATAATAATGATGTTACTTATGAAGTAAAGGATATGACTGATAAAATAATGTGACAAGTGACTTAACAAACATTAATGAATTTAACATGCTGAGTAACAACTATAGTGCTGAAAATAAAATAACTTTAAATTCTCAAAAGTAAAAAAAAATCAAGTCCCACAAACAGCTTGGTAAGGAAACAAATGAAGTACAATATTCCCAGTGCAGACAATAATGCCTGTCTCAGCCTGTGACCAACACTTGATTATACATACAGAAAACTACACACACACATTTTCAGTGCTCTAGTTTTACTGTAGATTCATTTCCACCACTCATGGTTATTTAGTATGCAGTATATTAATTATCCAAGAAGTGGGAAAATCAGGCCCAGTTCTTTATATTAAGAGACCCTCACTGGCATCAAGGAAACTCTCTTCAAGGAAATATACAGTATGCTAGGAAAACATCAGTGTCATTGGTTAACACCTCAAACATAACTCATGTATCATAAGATATTACTAATAATGTACAAGTCATCCTTTTTAGGCAGAGATGGGGTAGTTCCATATCACATTCCTAATATCCATCTGTCTTGTTTGGCTGAGCCTCCTTAAAATTTTAGCCCACCCAACTTTAGGAGCAGATAGGCAGATCTTCCTCAGCTAGCATACACCCTTAATTTTATCCAAAGTTGACTCTGGAAACCAAGTACAGTGGACCCCCGGTTAACGATATTTTTTCACTCCAGAAGTATGTTCAGGTGCCAGTACTGACCGAATTTGTTCCCATAAGAAATATTGTGAAGTAGATTAGTCCATTTCAGACCCCCAAACACACATGTACAAACGCACTTACATAAATACACTTACATAATTGGTCGCATTCGGAGGTAATCATTATGCGGGGGTCCACTGTATATTACTCAGCCTCTCTAACCCTTAAATGGTCCAAACGTATATATACGTTTTCTCAACATCTGAAAGTATGTAAAAAAATGTAGATCTTTTTTTTTTGTTTTACATTTGAAAACGTGTAAAAAAAACTTTTATCTACATTTTTTTTTTTGTTATATTTGAAAATATGTAAAATAAAGTAGATCTACTTTTGCAGCACTACGAATTTGAACGTCGATCTGTTTGGACCGTTTAAGGGCTAACTGCAGTCAATAAGTTCAATGTTATTCACCCCCAGGGTTTACACAACTGCGTAGGAGCTTTTTGACCTTCTTTGGTCAAAAGCTTATATGCAGAAGCAAACATCATATCTGAAGGATCACCATGATCCTCATTCCTCTGGTATTTTGTCTCTATATCCTTCACAATCATGCATAAAGGCAACTGATGAACATTAGATAATTATATTTAATTGTTGTCCCTATTTCCTGCAGCTCTTTATCTTTTGAGTTCAAAACTTAGCAGTTTCTCTTAACTTACCCCAACTTTACATTCACCCTTAATCATATCCTTTTCCTTTCTAGAAAGTCCCAGCTAATTTCATTTGTTCCTCTTCCCTCCCATGCCTGAAGTCTGATATACCTACATCACACTCTTGTTTTTTCTTCCTTGAACACCTTCATTGGCATTCTCATGGCACAGAAGTGTAAACAGATGGTTACTAGTACAGTATTAGCCATGTTTCTGTATTCAGCAATTCAAGATTATCTTATAGTCTGCCAGCAACCTTACAGCAGTGTTATATGCCACACTTATCACTTGCTTAAATGCCTAATTGTGGTTGCAGGGGTCAAGTCTCAGCTCATGGTTTCGCCTCTCTACTGGGTTGGCTCACTCTCCTGGCTACGTGAGCCTTATACATATTCCTAAAACTATGTATGAATCCTGCCTCAACCATTTCTTATGTAGGTCATTCCACTTTCTGACCACTCAATCCAAGAGAAGTATTTCCTAACATCCCTGTGACATATCTGTGTTTTTGGCTTCCACTTAATAATAATAATATTAATACTATCTTTATTTCTATAAGTACATGTACAAGGTATACAGGCCTAATTGAAATCAATGACATATTGCTATACAGAAAGCTGCTTGTTATGCAAAGCATTTTGGGCAAATTAGGTCAGTTTTGTCCCAGGATGCGACCCACACCTGTCAACTAACACACTAGTACCCAGTTTACTGATGGGGAACATAAACAACCGGTGTAAGGAAACATGCCCAATGTTTCTACCCTTGCTGAGAATCGAACCCAGATCCTTGCCATGTGAAGTGAGAGCTTTAACCACCAGGCCACAGGGTACCGTGGCCTGGTGGTTGTGCCCTCAAGTACTCAAGATTCACCCTGTCCACTCTGACAACTCTTCTCAGTATTTAGCATATTGCAATCATGTCACGCTAATCCTTTAGTTGTTGCTGTCATACATTCAGACTCTCAAAGTGCACTTCAAGCTATTTAAAAATAAGACTCCACATTGCATCATACTCTATACATGTATACAACAATGGTTATGCCAAATTTCAAGCAAGCACAAAGTATTTTCTTCCTTAGTCCCTGGACACAATGATGTTAGAGGTAATGAGCACCCATATTCAGCTACTTTGTCTGGCATCAGAACCTACTGATTTCCCACAGGAGTCCCTTTCTTTGGACTAGTTTCCAGGATAGTTCTAGAGATTCTAACACTGTTGGCAACAGTGTTGGACTAAGTCAAGGAAAATAAATTGTTTTCCATCAAGCTATTAGGCTTCTAGGCATCATCTTTCCCTTGCTGTAAAATGTGGGAAACTACACTTCCTTATCTGCAGCACACTGGGTACAGATAACATATAGAGAGGTGCCACACATTTCTCTGCAAAGACTTGCCAAGTAGCCTTTACAGTTACCTACATAGTAATAGACTGTCCTAGTTATCAGTCTCACTCTGACCTCACTGAAAGTCTCATTAACAGACTTACTGTTTGCCTTTTTGACTGAATCCAACTTACTGAACCAGCTTTAAACAAGATTTTACATCCTCACTAACTCCTACCCCATTAACCAATACTTCCACTTTCACAAACCATTATCCTTGCACACTGCTTACAGTATTGTGTGACCCACATTGGTCTAGGGCATATTTCATATTTATATTATCATTAGGGAGATCCAGCAATCTTAGCTTACAAAGCAGCAATCCTATTACCAGCTGTACATTCCTTGTTGCAATAGCTGAAAATTAGTAAATTACTTAATATATTTCACTGATATTAAAAAATCCTAAGTCTGGGATGACCTAAGATTGGTTTGACAGGATTAAGCTAAATTATATTATATTAATTTTAGCATGGCTAGGCAATAAAATACACAATATACACCTGCATAAGAATTTTTGTATAGCATATGATCCATTTTTAGGATGGTTCCTCTTGTTCGATGAACTGAGCCTATTGTTCACGAAAGTCTCAGTCTTACATTAATAAATATTAAGATATTTAAATGGTTATTAAGCATACTCTTAACACTGGAAAATTCATGGCTGATAAAACCAACTTAATTAAGTTTAATATGAATATCCACTAAACGAGTCAGTGACATACAGACACACACACTGACACTTACTCATTCACACACACTAGTGCCAGAACTGTCATACACTAGAGGAGAGGTTGAAGGAACTGAACCTGATAATCTTGGCAGATAGGACAAGGGAAGACATGATGATATAAAAATTAACAATAATTGATACAATTGGTAGGGACAAACTGAATTCAAAGGACCAGGATAAATAGGACATGGATATAAGGAAGCATTTTCAGTCTCTGGTTGGTTGAAAAGTGGAATGATTTGGATGAGGCAGTGACAGAGGCAAACTTAGTACACAGTTTCAAGAGTAGATATGATGAGGCCAGAAATCTATTATGTTGTTTAAAGTAATCTAGGAGGCAGGACCAGGACTTGATTATCAATCCCTGCAAACAAATCACCAAGTACACACAATCAACCAAATAATCTCAGTAGCCAAATGTTGCCTTGCAAATCAGAAAGTAGCCTTCAGGAATCTCAACAGAGTCATTCAGGGTGCTTTATACAACATGCATTTGGGCCATCTTGGAGGATGCAGCACCAGCATAGAACCCACACCTGAGGGAACATGTTAAGAAACTGGAGAAAGTGCAGAAGTATGCAATGAGACTAATTCCAGAGCTAAAAAAAAAACTGAATCTAACAACCCTGGAGGACAGATGGGCCAGGAAAGATGTGATAACAACATACAAGATACTCAGGGGAATTAATAAGGCAGACAGAGACAGGCTATTGAGAGGTGGCAAAACAGGCACTCAGGGGTACAGCTGGAAGCTAAGATTCAGACAAGTCACAAAGATGTTAAGAAGTTTTCTTCAGTCTCAGGGAAGTTGCAAGTGGAATGGCTGTGATGAAGAAGAGGTAAACTCTATACATAGTTTTAAGAATAGGTATAATAGGGCCTACAAAGCTAGGAGTGAATCTGGCAAGTGGCAAGTTGAGAACCAGGACCAGAAGTTAAAATTTGACCTGTGCAATTACATTGAGGTGCGCGCACATGTAGGCAGGCACCGAGGGATGATGAGATATGAATAAAAATATTCATAAAGGTTAACATGGAGTGCAAATGATGTGGAGTAATATTACTGAAAGGCAGGATAGCCACTTTAATCATGTTTTCCTGAACAAGTTTTACTTCATGAATTTTAAACATTACCTTTGAAGATGGATGCCTTGATGCTAGGAAAGGGCTCTTGATCTTTGATCAAACCTTACTGCCTCCCGCTCTTCAAGTACTGTATAACCCCTACTGATTTAGTGCTTCTCTGTAATTACAATTTAAACTAATTTAATGTATTATCACTTTTATTCACTTATATGAACTAGTAACTCTTCACACATTTTTTCAAAGACCAAAAACCAAAGCAGAATATTACTTTATTACCATAAAGAATCAATTACAGAAAATCTGTAAAAGATAATGCAGAACAAGCTCTATTGTCATGACTTAATAAGGTTCATCACTAAACAAAACTTTGTCAAAATAAAGATTAGCTCTCCAAAAACTTTTTTTTTTTTTCATATTTGTTGGGACCATTTGCCTTGGAGAGTCACACTCATAAGAACTACATATTTACTTCAATTTTCCAACCCAAATAATATGGTATGAATGACATAACACCACAATTACATCTACAGTTACAAAATTAGGCAACTTTTATTTCATAAATTTTGAAAAGCCCCTGATGAGGCAAAGCATTTCAGGCAGACTAAAACCAGGCTGTAGGTGCTAGCCACACAGTCCAATGGATGCACCACAGCCTAGTTGATCAGGAACCAACTTAAGAAACTTTATGAAGTTCCCTTTTGAAAGCAGTTAGGTGTCTGTTGATAAGTTCCTTTATGCATAAAAGGAAGGCTTTGAAGTTTTGGTGCCTTTACATATGATTTTTGAGTGTAATCAGTGTACCCCTGCTCATCAAGGGGTGTATTTGGTATTGTCTGCCAAGCCTATTGCTTTTGCAAATGACTGCAGTTTGCAGATTTGGGATCAATCTGACAATAAGTCTCCAAGGAGTGTAGTTCAAGAGACTTAGAGCATTACCAGTAATTTATTGCTTATTTATACATGCAGAGATGGTTCTCTATAGATTCTCCTGATCTGCAAAATAATTTTGTTCACCTTAAAGAGAGCTATTAGCATACAGAAAGATTACATCTACAGAGAACAAATGACTTACACTATTTTCACTGGCTTGGCATCTCTTGTTTTCGAGGTTCTAGCTATCTAGCCTATCACTCTCCTTGGTGTGATAACACTATTGTGATCCTTGGATGTGAAATCTGGCATCACTAAATATGTTCTGTTAAGCAACTGCAGTCTGCTTTATACTCCATTTTAGATAGCAGCATGACTGAAATTTGTCCCTAGTGAACATTTTTTTTCTGAGGATCACTGGAAGACTTGGTTTTATATCAGCATGGAGATCTGCTATGTCCTCAATGGATGCCACTCTCACAAATTCTAGTATCATTTACAAATGATGATACAGTGCTATGATTCATGTCATTTGTGCAAACCCCAAAGCTGGACAAGATGTTCAGTGGGAGTAAACTTGCTAGATAGAGTGGACCAATTACACTGCCAAAAAATGCAATGGGGAAATGGTGAGAAAGTAGGCATTCAGTGGATATTGCCTATTCAGTATAAAATTTAAGCTCTCACAAAATGGGTGTTTTCTATCAACTTTCCATTTTGGAATATGCAAAGTATTAGTAAAGAATATCCATTATTAAAAATAAAATATACTATATACTGCACGTACAATATGTGGTCCAGCATGATGCAGTGCACTGCTAGAGAACATTGGAATGTCAACAAATCAGTCAGACCTTGTCTTTATATCCAGGTAGGCATTCCAACAACTGCTTTTGACAGAAAGCATTTAAACAACTATTTCTGTCATGAATAGCTTTCAATACTTTTGCCCAAAATGCTGAGCATAATATAGGTTTTGTAAAATACTGTTATGTATACACTCTTATGCCTATAATTATTGTATAATTAATAATTTAATTTGATTTACAGCAATGTCTAACTTCATGTGGGTTCACTGCATGTGAATTCGCTTTTTTGAGATGACATCATTCCTACTAAATTGTTGTGTACAATATAAATTCACTATCTGATCAGTGTAGTTCAGAAATTATAAAAAAAATTTTCAGACCTTGAGGAGGAATCCTCTTTGGAGTTTGATTCCCATAATTGAGAAATGGCTTTATTGAAATTATTACAGCTGCTTATCAGGAAGAGAAAGAGGAGGAGGATTGAAGTGGTTCTTAATATGAAGGATCTGACTGAGGGCAGCAGTCAGATTTGTTTGCAAAAACAGACTTGCCCACTCTGACATGGACAATAATCCTAACCTGGAGACAAGCATGAAGTCTGTCATATAAGCAATAGCTGTTCTGTACTAACAACAAGGAGGTGCCTGCCCAGAAGCAGTAAATAAGTAGTCCTCCATGTTGCAATTTTTAAAATCTCCCTCGCTCACCCCTACTCTAACTGGCTTTTAACATTGATGTCTGATGATGACAGCTCCTTGCCTGTGCTTCTTTGGATATCACCCTTACTAGTCCTAGTAATGTTATGTTTGATCTAGACAACCATGCACCACCCTCTATACACACCAACTAGAAACTCACCATTACCATCCACCACGACATCTAATTATAATTGTGTGCCTGCTGTTGTTGGTCAGTATTATTTCAAATAAAACACATCATTTGTTAAAATATACAATACTTTCCTCAAATTGAATCAGAAATGGGTGCGGGGCAATACAGTTAAGGTCTCAAAAAGTATCACTATGTATTGCACACTACTGAGCTATTTTATGTGATTTCAGAATATGCACAGTGAACCTGGAATACATTTATCAAAGCGAGGGGTGCCTCTATTATATTATGAAACCCATTACAATGTATCAAACCTTAAAAAGGAATTTTTGTATTTACTCTATACATATTATATGAACTAAATATTATTCCCTGTAAGGTTTTGAGATTTAAAACAGTTCAAACAGTACGTTTGTAGAGAGAAATGAATATTAGATCTGGGAAGAGAATATGGAATGCACATCCAATATTACTATGTATTTGCTCTGATTGGATTTGTTTTGTGCAACTTTCGTATGGAACACATCTTTTATGCAAAGCCAGGGAGGCAAGTACTGTACAAATACGTATTAAGAACGTCGCACAATTAATATTGCTTTGACATTTAAGGCAACAGCATTTTAATAGTTCAAAAAACCTTTTTACATGTAGAGTACTGTAAATTAAGTTTTTTCAATATAAAACAACACACACACACACACACATACACATACACACATGAAGCCCATTTCTTTGAGAAATTGTGTAAAAATTTTACTTAATTTATGAAAATATTTTGCCATTAGATAATGGGAAGTCAATGAAGAAAAATAGATTAGCTTCATTTCAAGCTATTTTCTAAAACTAGGCATATAAATTGACTCCACTTGGTATTATATTTGGAGAATTAACACTAGGCAATTAAAAAATTATTTTCTCAAAACACTTATGTACACAGCCTACTAGCACCTGCTCACCTCAAGTTTCATAGCAAAAATTTTGCTGTAAAAGCTCAGGTGAAGCAAAATTTAGTGGGCATTTGATGTTCAGAAATTAATTTTCATTTATTAGCAGCTTTTATTATTATGTAATTACCTATTGGTATTTACCTAGCTGTAGCTATAATAGCAGTTAAGCTCATAGTGTCCTGCTTTCAGTACTGAAGCTGACATTCAAGTAATTGTAACTGCTATCCAGACATGCTACTCAATGCATATACAGTACATGCAAATGTAATTCGAACCTACCCTGTATTATTATGAAAATCATTATAATGCAGCAGCATTCACCTTATAGAACAAAAACTGCAATACTTGGCATTTACATTAATATTTGTTACCTTTCGCTAGGCCTTGATGACTATTTGAAGTCATTTGACATACTTTCACTCAGATTCTTGAAGAAATCAATGCATAACTGGTTGACCAAAATGTCCTTGATATCTTATTACAGGCACAACATGGATGATAAGTGGCAGGATCCCATCTTCTTTTTCATGATATTCCAGGCGTTCTCAATACTGAGGTTTGGACTATTCCCCATCTACTGTAAAACCTCATTATTTTTCTCTGCAAGCCACTTGGTTCATTTTTTTTTTTTTTGGCCTTTTGAGAGGGGGCACTATCATGCAATAATAGAGGTGGTGTTGCCATTTCAATATCCAGTAGGTGATCCCCAAGAACAGTGATGTAGCGGTCGGCATTCATTGTTAACACTTTGTGGAAGGAAGTATTAACCCCCACAACCAAGTAAACCACTAATGCAACTCCAGGCCATGACGAATTGTGGGTGCTTTGTGGTGCTTACTGTCTATGCAGGGTCATAATTGATGTATGTTAAGTATGACCCTGCATATACAGTGAGCACCATAAAGCACCCACAATCTTTCATGGTTTGAGGTTGTTTTAGCAATTTATTTGGTCATGGGGGTTTGTACTTCCTTCCCCAAAATGCTACACTGAATACCGACTGCTACATCACCATTCTCGATGACCACCTACTGAATATTTTCAAAATTCACGGCTGCACCACCTTTATGCATAATAGTGCCCTGTCACAAAGAAGTAATCAATTGGCTTGCTGAGAAAAAATGCTGAGGTTTTACAGTGGCCAGGGAATAGGCCAGACCTCAGCACTACTGAGAATGCCTGAAATATCATTAAAAAGAAGATGGAATCTTGCCAAATTCCATCCATGTTGTGCCAGCAGCAGTAGTAGATCAAGGACATCTGGGTCAACCAGGTACCCACTGATTACTTCAGGAATCTGAGTGAAAGCAAGCCCAAGCAACTTCAAATGGTCAAGGGCAGGAGAAAGAAAACAAATTATTAATGTAAGTACCAAGTATTACAGTTTTTGTTCTATAATGTTTATATTGTTGCTTTTCAATAATTTTTGTAATAATAAAGGGGAAGTCAAAATTGTTTTTGCACGCACTGTATGCCTGGAATAAATTAATGAAAAATTAAATGCACTGTATATGAAGTTCTGTATTACTGACTTTGCTAACTACATTTAGGTAGCTGAATAATGTGCTGATCAGTCTCATATACAGAAAAATTTTATGCATCTTAAGCTGTTCAATAATACACACACATGATCAACAGAAACTGACTGAACTAAAACACTGTCCTTCTTCATACTGACTCTCAGTTTCATTACCTAGCAAACCACTAGGTGAGAAAAGTTATTTTAATAAAGAGTCCTGAAAGACAAGTTCTATGCTAACCAGAGACAAAAACATCCCTCCAGCCATGCGTGATTGAACAAATGAACTTAGTCTTCTAAGTTGCAACTTCAGTCACATTTTACATGAAATTTAATGTTTGCCACTGAACTGAATTTAGCTTCTAGCTGCAGTAATCCTATTGCTAATTACAGAATCTTATAAAAAAATTACATCTTACTATTATAAAGAAATAATTTTGATCATACATGAAGAAATTATGGTTTGCTAGCAGTTATTTTGGGTGGAATGTTTTCCTAAAAAAATTAAGTCTTGCAAAGAAAAACTTATATTGACAAAAGATGTTCAATATACAACCAAGTCTGAAAGAATTCAGGTCCTCAACATAAGGTGCTGATCATAACCTATAAGGGTCAAGTTGATATTTCTCATATTCATTTATGAGGGTTATCATCAGCCTAGTTTTCAAAGTTCTACTAGAAGTTAGTTGTCAGAAGTGTATGACCTTGTAGGCCTACCCTAGAATAGCCACCTATTTAAGCTATTAATATTACAGCCAGTTACCTGACATCTTTATCAGTATATTCTATTACTGTAAAATTATGGAACTTCACATTATAACTGATATTGGTAGTTGCTGCAATATTCAATATACTGTTTTTCAAATGTATACTGTATTTTGCAGTATATAAGATGCACTTTTTTTTTCTTTTTTTTTTTTTTTTAAAATTTAACCCTCAAAACCACCCTGCATCTTACACAGCGAAGGTCAGGCTTGAGGTCAAGCTTTGGATTTACAAGTAATTCCATTTTGTGGTAATTCTTCAGACTACCAGCAGTGGTTGGTGGTCAGGCACAGCATTTATTAGTCGTGGTCATAGATGCCGTATTTACATCAATACCTCTGTATTTACACCAATACCAGTCATAACTCTTATATCAACATGTAACAGTGCCTTATAAAGTAAAACAAACCTTCACTGAAACATGCAATGATTCAGTTATTGTCCAATTCTTAGCAAACAATGGAAAACTTAGTGTGTCCATTGGTTACACTGGAGAGAGTGAGTCTGATGATGACAAACCACATCCACACGCAGCAGTGAGCCACAGTGACAGCAACTGACTTCATCAGTTTGAACACAAACCTCCTTGGTGTAGCATAGTGGTATACTGTAACTGTTCACCCAAAATTAAAGTGAATATAAGCGGAACAGAATTCTTCCTCCATAAGCCATGCATGTCATAAGAAGCGGCTAATATGCCAGAGGCAAGGGGCTAGTAACCCCTTCTCCTGTATACATTACTAAATTTAAAAAGAGAAACTTTCATTTTTTCTTTCTGGGGCACCCTGCCTTGGTGGGATATGGTCAGTTTGCCGAAAGAAGTATAAAAAAAAGGTGCAAGGTAAATATCAGTACAAAAAACAAAAAATGGTAATAATGAATCATAAAGATGGAGCCACAGTCATAGCACAGAGTCGAGATACTACGGGTGCTCCTTGGCTTACAATGGGGTTACGTTCCAACAAATCCATCTTAAGTCAAAAATATCAAGTCGAATATGAATATAATATGCTAAATAAATAAGTAAATAAATAACTACTGTCACTGAAAAAGTAAATAAACAAATAATTACTGTAACTAACTAAATACAGTGGTACCCCGAGTTTCAGCCATAATTCGTTCCAGAAGGCTGCTTGAGTGCCGTTACCGAATGAATTTGTTCCCATAAGGAAAAACGTAAATTAGTTTAGTCCATATCAGACCCCGAAAAATACACTTACGATAATACACTTACATAACTGTTTGACTTGGGAGCTGTATGAAACTCGGGGTACCACTGTACCAGTATTGAAAAGTAAATAATAGAATACATGTCAAGGGCTTGCTGCTTTCATGCTAGGCAATCATCTCAAGTCTCATCTCCAAAGTAACTGCTTTTGCAGCATCATAAATTCGAAGTACCGTAAGTCGAACCATTGTAAGCAGAGAAACATATAGTGTTAGCTAGCGTTCACTGCAGACACTTGCAGTGGAAGCACAGCCAGCATGATTATATTGATAAAATATAAGGGAAGTACAGTATTACTGGTAATATAAAATATGCAGTACAATGAAATGTAAAAACACAAAAAAAAAAAATTAGCAAATATTAAAGTAGTATTGTAAATACCATCTGAGAGTAAACGTGTCACAATCAAAATGCGGGAACCATCACAGCCTTCAGCTGTTCATTGTCTCTAGAAAATTTTCCTCTATTTTACTTTTCTAACATATTTCATGTTAAATTTAGGGTGTGACCTATATGCTGCAAAATACAGTAATAAGAAACACTGACTCATCCTTTCAAAATTTTGAGTATTATTTCAGTAATGCAGAAATGCCCAAAAATAATAATTCAAAGATATTCATTATAGAGACTAATAAATGTATGACTGGCCTCTTTGCATACAATATCAAGAAAACAACCTATTTCCCATATTTAAAATCAGTCTACAATACAGTATGGGTATATAATGATAAGAACTGAAAGTACGGTAAATGCAATATGAAATACATTATCGGGTAAAATCTTTGATGGAATGCCACATCAATCCAAGTTATTACATTACTCTAGCATCCACACTGTCATTAAAATATTCTTAAAAAATAATACCACACATTTATTCACTTTTTTCTTTTATAATTTTTTTTGATAAATATAAACAAAATGAATAACTACAGTTAGTGCAAATTACGTAAATACGCTAAGAAAATTGTAACTATGTCCACCAAATAACAAGCATCACAAAAAAGCTAAGCTTTGATAAAAAAATACTGTAATTACATTACATAAACACCATTATAAGTTACTTACATATAGCTTGGCATTACTGACTTGGCTTGTATTAATACTTAAAATGCCAAACTAAAATACAGCAGCCTCTAAATATATACATTTAACTTAATATCTATTAAGCTTGTATGTACAGCTCTGGTTAAGTCCTCACAAAATAACATCAGTATCCTGTAACAAAATTTAGAACATTAGATGGGAAGACCCAGTCTCTCTTCTGGAAATGGTATCCTTCAGATGTCACCATTGTCAAAGTATGATGTAGATATATACAAGAGCTATTACTGGAATCTCAAAAAATATTACTGTATAAAGAAATACTGTGAATGTGTACTTATAGGACAATAATTTCTAAATCTGTAAGTGTCCAAAATGCTATAAAAAATTTAGGGAGAGTATGGTACAAAAATAACACGAGGACACAGTTCTAGTATCTGGCAGGCTATATGCATCAGTGGTAGGTAGGGATACTCGTATCTAGTAAGTATTGATTTTTTAACACATTGTCAATTTCTCACCAAGACAGAATGACCCAGAAAAGGAAACAAATTCACTATCACATGCTCTTTAACTGCCTTTCCAAAAAACTACTAACATCATGGTCCAGTGATAGACCAACAAACTTCAACATCCTCACCTGATTTTCAAAGTTCCAGGTACTATACATCCCACTTCTAATATTAAAGTCTGGCTATCCAGTTTCTCTAAATTCTTTCACGGATATTCTAAAATTACTCACCAACTGCACACAAAGTCCTGAAAAACTATTCTGGTCCACTCCTCACAGTCTAGCAAACATACATGTGACTACTACATGTTCAAGTACCTGCTTCCCAAAACACCCTCCTTACAACCTTTCCTCAGATTTTCTCTGCACCTGAATCCATCACAGATTTATATCTTAATCAACCTATATTGTCTCCCCCCTTCTGAATGACCACAACCATTGCAACCACTTCTTCCAACACTGACATTACAGTACTCATTTAATGTAATACCATCTCATAATTTCTTGATTCTCTGCATGCCATTCACACCACATCTTGATACCTTTCCTATGCATCCACATCCAAAAATCCTTCTCTTTAAAAGTTTTTCTTATAAAGTCTTCATACTACCTGATACAAGTCAATACAAAACCAGCTAAACTGATTTTCTGACACAAGGGTAATAGTGCACTTGGGTCATCATCAGCAGATCCTACCACCTGAGCAACAATCTTGTTCCAATTCAAACTTTTATCAACATGCATAATTGTAGACTGGTAATTTTTTGTCACTGCTTCTATTGTCTGCCAGATATTAGGTATCTAAAGAATGTGCAGTAAAGAAGAAATTAGTGCAAGTATTTTAATTTTAATGTTATTTTAATTTTTAATGTTAACAAAATTTGCCTGCCAGTAGTTGTAACTAAGTGAATTATCTATAATGTATGCAACATGTTTATTGCTTTCATTAAATAAATACATACTAATATCTAAACTCAACAAACACCATAAAAACTGTGTTTTAATCCAATGAAATGCAGTTAGGGACTACTCCTAACCCTGTGATACACAAAACATGTGTATAACTGTTTGATATTTTGCCAAAAAATAATAATAAATATACACATAAAACAATTCATCATAATACCTGACTAAACTATGGCGCTGAAACTCCTAAGAGTTATCTCCAGTATGCAGAGAGAAAGAGAAATTCAATGTACCCTTAGATTTACAGACTATTTGAGCAGTATATGCCTCCTGTCTGTAACTGAGACATACATCTATATTCTACATCTCTAGCACATTAATGGGTCCCATTTACAATGAATGAGGAAGATGAATGATACTGGTTGTAATTATGGCACATGTACAAACAGTGTATCTTACACAAATCACCCCAAAATGTATATACTATGAGAGAAATGAGATATGACATGATCTTAACACCATAAAAGCATAATCGTAAGTACAGTATATTACATCACAGCATGAGTGAACATCACAGCACCAATCTGACTTAACCTCACACTAGATTGTCAACATGTTCAATTTCTGCCACTTTTCTCTTCAAGACTAATGCAAAAATTTCCATTACCACTCTTGCTAATGAAAACATCACCTTACAAAAATATCCTCATTCAGCCAAAACTACATACCAATCTTATCTGCTTCATACATGTGCAACCACCTCTAAGTATTTTTTCACATTTTATTAATTTGTTTGAAATATTTACAGGATATAAAAGTAGCACAAGCAGCAAATTAATAAAAGCTGAAAAACTGTAAATATGAAGACATTAATCATGGTGCATGAGGTAACTGTGAGAAGAAATGTGAACATATGCCTACTGAACAGGCACTTAAAAGTACATCACAATACCTGTCTTCATATAAACAGTTTAGAAATTCAATCACTCAAATCTCCTCCAAAAGACACTTGCTTCTTTGTCAGAGCTAAAATTTAATACCATTTTACATACCGTATTACAGATTTATGGTAAGGAGTTGTAGCACCAACCCTATCATAGTCGAATAAATTTAATACTGTACCGGCACTGGCATTTAAAAACGTATTCACAAGAGTGTACTGTAACCTGAAGTTAAACTACTCAATGTCTGGTCAGCAACACAATTCTTGTCTTCAGTATTCTATTTCCTCTGTAATCGCATCAGACTTGCGTTTATTGATATAATCCACTTTAAGTTTTGCTTTGTCTTCAAAATAATGATCCATCCTCACTGCAGCATATTCCTGTAAAAAACACCTTTACTTAACAAGCATATTTTAATAATAAAACAAACTGATACTTTTACTCAAGATAATAACTTCCAGTCTTACTCTGATGTGTGTCCCTCCATGGGAAGGGAAGGACGCCTTGATGCTGGTGAAGGGCTCTTGATTGAGGGATATGAAGCTGCCCTTCCCTTCCCATAGTTCATACCTGATAGTCTCCTATACTCCTAGTGCTGTAGGACTTTTGTAGATTTTAGTATCTTCTCTTGCAAGTAAAAATAATCTGACAATGCATGTTTCAGTTTTGTGTTTGCACTTTTGCCACTTTCTTCCTATAGAAGCATGAAGGGGAAGATATCCTAGAAAATCTTGTTATCACTGTTGGACAAAATTTACTGACACACCCCATTCCCATAATGCATATACAGTGGAACCCCGGTTTTCATTCTTAATCTGTTCCAGGTCGGTCGAAATCCGAAATGGACGAACACCAAAGTAATATTTCCCATAAGAAATAATGTAAATCAAATTAATCTGTTCCAGACACCCAAAAATATTAACAAAAAATTCATTTTATAGAGAATAACTATACTATTACATACAGAAAACAATGAGAAATAAATATAAAGCACTAATTTTAATGGATAAATGAAGATTTAAATCACTTTTACCTTGATTGAAGACTCTTGTTGGCATATTCTTTAAGAGATCCTCATGCAACTGCATTGCCTTTTCACAAATTATCGCCTTCACAACACTATCTCCCGCTAACTGTTTTCCGTTGAGCCACACCAACAACAACTTCTCAACATCTTCAATTGTTTGCCATCACTACCACCCTCTACCACCATCACTACCACCATCACTACCACCCTCTACCACCATCACTATCACCTTCTACCACCAATGTTTTGGATGAATGCGTGGGGTATTGCTCACTGAACAAGTGACAGAGGCAGACTGAGTCACACACGTGTGAGTGGCCACAATCCAGGTGGGTGGACGCATCTGATACACACAATTTCCGAGCGGAGGTACAAAACCCGGGATAAAATTTTGCCCAAAAAAGTGGCCGAAATCCGAATTGTACGATATCTACACCGGACGAAATCCAAGGTTCCACTGTACTACTTTTTTACAGTATGGGTCAAATAATACAAAGCTCAAAACTATTCAATTCAATTTTCCCTTTCCCACACTTGAAATGATTTCTTTTGCTTCTTCCATGCAAATCCTTATCACCTTTCACTGTTCAAGGGAAATGCTTGATGCTGGGAAAGGGGCTCTTGATATAAAGAACTGGAGCTGCCTTTTCCCTTCCTTGGATCAGACCTGATTACCACCCAGTCCAAAGAGCTGTATTACAACTTATGGAATTATCAGCAGTGACAAGCTGGATTTGTTTGGTTATGTAGCTACAGGAGATTGTAACTTTAGGTTTGGCAACACTTGTCATTGTAGTTATGGTGGAGAGTTAGAGCAAGTCTGGCTACAGCAATTATGCAAGACTTGATCAATCTCATGCTGGGGACTAAGGTGCCATAAAACCATCCACCATGGCTGGACAATATAATGTTTATGTAAGTATACACATTGCATATGAATTATGTATATTCACCATTGTAACTATTTAAATGTTTATATATATAACATGTATTAATATTTACTATAATATAAAGTGTATAGAATGAAGTTAGTAACACTTTATTAACTGTTTACTATTAGTATAATATGCCAAGTGATGTATTTTAGTAAGGGCTTCTGGGAGAACCACAATGTTCTCAGTCTCAGTCTCTCTCTCTCTTGGTCTCTCGGTCTCTTGATCTCTCAGTCTCTTGGTCTCTTGGTCTCTTGATCTCTTGGTCTCTCGGTCTCTTGGTTTCTTGGTCTCTCTCTCTCTCTCTCACACTGCATGAATATACCTGTCAGTAATTTTGGGTAATATGTCTCTTATCTCTAGAGCTAAGTGCTGAAAGAGACATGTGTAGTCATGATGATATTGACAGAGTTGCTGCCAATACACTGATTTAACCCTTTAACCCTTAAGATAAGATAAGATTTCGTTCGGATTTTTAACCCCGGAGAGTTAGCCACCCAGGATAACCCAAGAAAGTCAGTGCGTCATCGAGGTCTGTCTAACTTATTTCCATTGGGGTCCTTAATCTTGTCCCCCAGGATGCGACCCACACCAGTCGACTAACACCCAGGTACCTATTTGCTGCTAGGTGAACAGGACAACAGGTGTAAGGAAACGTGTCGAAATGTTTCCACCCGCCGGGAATCGAACCCGGGCCCTCCGTGTGTGAAGCAGCAGCTTTAGCCACCAGGCCAGGGTTTTTGACGTACTAGTACATCTTATGTGCCAGGGTTATTGATGTACTAGTATGCATAAATTCTAGTGTCCTCAAATCAAGCAGGAAAAGGCTGATAGGCCTAGATGTAAGACAATGGGTCTCCATGGTCAGTGTGCACTGTACATAAAAAATCGGGGACCCTGTAGTGCATTGTGGAGAAAGCATTTTATTACACCTTGTTCACCATGTCTAGCGCTAAGAAACTCCTCACTCCTTGGCTAATTGGGGCTCTTTTGTTCCCAAGTGGCAGTTCAAACACAGGTGGAAGTGTCAGTGAAGATGAATTTCATGGTTTTGAGGAGTTTGTGACTGAAAGCAATGCCCAGGAAGCCTGAAGGAAGGAAGGAAGAAAGGAAGACATGAGAGGAAGGAGGGAAGGAAGAAAGGAAGACATGAGAGGAAGTAAGGAAGGGAGGAGACCATCAAACTAGGATAACCCAAAAAGTTCAGACAGTGACTTATTTCCATGTGGGTTGGTGGGGTGGCAAGGAAGCTGACAGGCAGTGAAGGTGGTGACAGGCACTGAGGGTGGTGAGTGATGGTGTTATTTGTCATTGTGACACTAATTACGCTGGTGACTCAGCATATTTACAAGTCCACCCCCACACAACAACTACGAGCTTTACAGAAGCTGTAGCAGTTCTGGGAAGTGTCCAGTGACTTTATATGTTTATATATGTGATAGAAAAATAGTAATAAACAGCATTTTTATTGTTAGTTTGTGTAAACATGTTTTGTAAACAATATAATGACTATTTGTGTGGTTATTGTATAGCATACAACGAGTGAATATACATTCAATATACCTTATATTGGTCTCACAGGCCATAAAGTTCCTTGAATAAAGAAAGGAAGGAAGAAGTAAGGAGGGAAGGTAGGTAGGTAGGAAGAGATGAGAGGAAGGAAGGAAGGATGGAAGGTAGGAAGGAGGGAAGGTAGGAAGGAAGGAAAGAAGGAAGGAAGGAAGGAAGGAAGGAAAGAAGGAAGGTAGGTTTGTGGGGAGGAAGGGATGTGTTGTGGAAGGCAGTGAGGTTAGTGAGTGGTGGAATGATGCATCATTATGAACCAAGACACACCGGTGACTCAGCATATTTAAAAGTCCACCCCCACACAACTACAAGCTTTCAGAACCTCTTGCAGTTATAGGAACCTGTCCAGTGACTCTATATGTGTATATATATATGATAGAAAAATAGTAATAAACAACATTTTTTATTGTTGGTTTGTGTAAACATATTTTGTAAACAATATAATGACAGCAAAGTTTGTGCTGTTATTGTGTAGTATACAATGAGTGAATATATACCAAATAGTCTTTATATTGGTCTCAGAGCCCATAAAAGTTACTTGAAAAAATAAAATATTAAAAAATGAAAGAAAAAAGTAGAAAAAACAAAAACTATTACCGGGTGACTGGCAGTCGGCGATGTTGCCGTATGCAGTTCAATTTCTGTCAACTTCTTGCCTCCATATCTCCGTAAGTATTGATCATAAAAAAATTTTTTTGGCCTATAATACTCGCAAAAAAAAGATTCAAGAATATTATTTTTAATTTAATTCTATTTTTTTCTTTGCTTTTCAAACATTTTATTTTTTCAAGTAACTTTTGTGGTTTGTGAAACCAATATAATGCATAATAATAATAACATTAATAATAATAATAATAATGCAGTGGTCCCTCATTTATCATCATTAATCCGTTCCTGGAAGTGCAACGATTATCGAAATCTATGATTTTCGAATCAATTTTCCCATAAGAAACAATGTAAATACAATTAATCCATTCCTGACACCCAGAAGTATTAAAACAAAAAAATTTTTTACATGAAATATAGATGTAGTACATAAACAATACAACGAGACATGATGAATGGAACATTAACAGCATAACACTTACCTTTATTGGCGATGCTTCTTAGTGTATGGAAGACTGGAGGAGGAGAGAGATTGGATTAGTTACTGTTTGGAAGGGGAATCCCCTTCCATCAACACCTCAGGTACCAAGTCCTTTTCTGGGGTTACATACTTCTCTTCTCTGTTTCTTAATGCCACTAGGACCAGCTTGAGAGTCACTGGAGTCCTGTCTCACAAAAAAAGTGTCCAGAGAGCTCTGTTTCTGGCGTCTCTTTAAAACTTCCCTAAAATGGGCCAAGACTTTGTCACTGTACATGTTGCCGACATGGCTTGCAACAGCCTTGTCAGGGTGATGTTTCTCTATAAATCTTTCCATTTTACTCCATATTTCGAAAATCTCCTTAATTTCTAAAGAAGGCAACTTCTTCCTTCTCTCTTCCTCCTCCTCTGCAGCAATATTCTGAGCTGGGGTCTGTTGCTGTTCCAGCTGAAGCCCTTGCAGCTCCTCAGTGGTTAGCTCTTTGTTGTGGTCCTCCACCAACTCTTCCACATCCTCCAAACTCACATCCAACCCCATGGAACTCCCCAATGCCACAACAGATTTCACAACTGACATAGGCTCATCAGGGTCAGCCACAAACTCTTCAAAATCCCTCTTGTGGACACAATCTGGCCACAATTTTCTCCAAGTAGAATTCAAAGTCCCTCCCAAGCCTTACCTATAAGGCTTATGCAATGGAGGATACTGAAGTGATCTTTCCAAAACTCTCTTAGGGTCAAGTGAGTGTCTGAGGTTACATTAGAGCACCT